CCCCCCTTCTCCTCTTCCTCCTCTTCCTCCTCCTCATTCATCAGGGACTCAGGACCTTGTGCTTGACAGGCAGACACTTGTGAGTAGCCCTTTTCAAATGTGCTTTTTATTTTAAAATTTATTTAATTAATTAATTTATGTTTGTCTTTTTTTGAGACAAGATCTTGCTGTACAATTCAGGCTGGCCTTTTACTCACTTTACAGCCCAAGCTGGTCCCAAACTCCCAAAGATCCTCCTGTGACAGCCTCCTGAGTGCTGGGATTACAGGCGTGCACCACAATGCCTGGCTCAAGTCTGCTTTTTAGAAACAACTATTTTTTGAGAGGAACTATGGGATGGTTTCAACTGACCTCTGCGATGAGGGCCTGGGCCTTTCTCTCGCCTCCAGTTTCTCCTGGCAGGCCTGGACTTGAATGAATTGTGCAGAGCTTCGATTCACAAATGCGATCCCCCACTCCAGTATGTCACCCTGGCCAGGGCTCCTAGTTTTAAGCAGAAGAGGAATGCCTTTAAAAGCTAGGGGCCGGAGAGATGGCTCAGTAGAATAAGCGCTTCCTTGGAAAGCATAAGGGCCTGAGTTCAATTCCTGGTTGGGGGGGTGGAGTTTGCCATTGCCCTGGGAGGGAAGGAGGAGGGCTTGCTGGTAGGAGGAGGGCTGGGTCATTTTACGGTGCACATGCTGAGGTGGTTGGGGGCGGGAACTGAGGCTCCTGGCCTGGGCCAGCGCAAAGAGCTGAGAGGGGCGGAGCTCCGAGCTGTCACTGCTGCCTCGCTGCTGATGCCGCACCTCCCTCTCTGGCATGGAACCTGCTGGGTCCTTTGGTTATTGTCCCCAGTTCTCAATCTTAGCTCATATCCTGGTAAGTTGGTACCTGTGATTCCGGCCTGATGGCCTGGGGCCCTGCAGTCTCTTGTGCTGGCACCTGCCACTCTGCCCTTCAGTGCCATTTGGTAGATGTTTCTCCAGGTGCCCACACAGGCCTCTGGAGGTTTCAGCTGACATTGATCCAATCGTCTGCTGTCAGCTTCTGGGTTCCCCATCGTTACTCCAACCTGCTGTCCTCTCCTGGCCCAGAGGGACCGAGATGGCAGGCTCCAAGCAGAAGATGGGCTTCACGGCACTTTTATTTGCAGAATTTACTAAGTTCCTGCTGTGTTTAGGGAGGCAGGCCATGGACTTTGAGCCGCCTGTTCCTGCCCCACAGCAGAGCTGACCACACGAGGTTTAAACACTTGCCATTCATTCTACCTGATAACTGATCAAATGAAACATAAATAAAAGTAGAAAGGAGAAAGTACAGGAAAGAAAAGCAGTCATAATTCCACCATGCTGAAGCAGGGCAAGTAGCATTGTAATTTATTTCCTTCTGATTTTGCCCTTCTGGTTATTTCAGGTAAAAAATTCATAGGCTTCATTTTTTTAAAAACATTTTGCTTTAGGGTAAAGTCAAAGGGATAGCAGTACATTTGTTCTGATTAGTGGAGAAATATGGATGCGATTGAAGTCCGTCATCTGCAGTAAGGTTGACTTGGTGTGTTGTACAGCTGTGAGTTCTAACAAGTATGTAAAATCTTTACTAAAAGGCAAAAGATTCACACAATCTGAAGAGAGCCTAGAGTACTAAATATGGAAGATCCGTATCTACCATTTCAACATCACAGCTAATAGTTTCACGGCCTTTGGGCCCTGCCACAGCCAGCTTCTGTGCGCAGCTTCTTCTGGGTGTGCTAGGGGAGCCTTCCTTTCTGTCCCTGCGGGGGCCTCTCATGCTTATAATCGGCCCCCAGCCTCGCAGGCAAACGGTCCACGTTTAGGCGGCCTGATGACCACATTCATGCTGCTGACAGCTTTTTCTGCTTCTCCAGGCCTTGTAAGAAGCAGTTCATGGAAACAGCTTTCCAGGAGTTAGATGGCGTTAGGAGAAAATGGTAACTTAGAAACAGCGGAGTATACAGCGTCCCCCAACACCTCCCAGACAAAGGGCCTTTGTCTGGATACGGGAGGCCTGACCCGCTGGCCTGGCCTGTGTCAAGTTTCTGTGTGGCTGCCCACACCCCGGGGACAGGAGGGACCACTCTGGCCTGGGCCTTAGCTTTCCTGCCTGCAGGAAGGACCGGAACACACACTCCCTCTTGCTGTCACCCATCCAGGGTGCCCCAGAACCTTGACTCTCCACCTGGCACAACTTTTTCATTTTATTGTTCTTGGCTGTTACAGTCAATGCTGCACAAGCTGGGCCGTGCAGCAAGTGACCAGGAGCAGCACTGGTGTTTGGGGATGTGAGCTGGGCAGCACAGAAAGGCTTTGGTGAAATACCTCACTCTCAGCAGCGTCGCTGAGGCTTTAGGCAGGTGGTATCACTCTGTCTAGAAGGCCTCAGTGGAGGGCAGACAGCTGGCACAGGGACTCTCTGGCAGTTCTCACGGAAAGGTACACCAGAATTAGTGAAAATAATAGCGTTTTTCTTTATGCCTGAGAACCAATCATTAACCACAAAGCTGAGCATCTGCATGGCCCTGTAATGCACCATCCTTACCCGGTAGCTCCTATTTTAAACATTTGTTATTGGTATGTTTGTGACCATGATGAATACATGTATCTTTGGGGAATCAGTACCCACACACCACCTCGATCCTGCTTGTGCCCTTTCGTCCCTCCTGCTCCCCCTCCACCTATTCTGCGCATGGCCCCAACATCATATTTCATCATGGCGCCTCCTCCCCCCAGGTCCCCAGTGGACCAGGCAGGACCGGAAGCCGACCCAGGCCAGTGCTTTGCGTGCCCCAGCTTTCCTTCACAGCCCTTCCAGGCCCACAGATCTGCGAGCCCTTGGGTCTCAGCAGCCCGAGCCACTGTGCGACCGTGTTTGTCCTGTGCCCTTGGAGTGCAGCCAGTCCTGACCTCTGCCCCAGAACTCGCTGTCCCAAAGGCCTCCCAGCCGGACATCCTGGCTCAAAACAAAGTGCAAGGTGGTGCAGGTCTTCCAAGTCCACCGCTGCACTCCCCGGGGCCGGGACGGGGTAATGTGGTTCAGGGGCAGGAGCAGTCTGGCACAGGAAAATATAGGATGGAGAGTGAGGCAGGGCCCCGGCCTGGGGAGATCTAGGAGCACGCGTTAGAAGCACAGGCTCTGTTACCGACTGTGGGGTGCGACGCAGGGCTGGTCACAGTGCACATCAGCGGAGCACTGCAAGGACTATGCGGAGCAAACAAGGCAAAGGCTTTGGGTGCAGGGGAGCCCTCTGCACCTGCAGCTACCCTGACCCAGTGGCCGGGAAAACCCAGAACCATCCATGCCCTGCGGCCTGGTGTGTTCCTAGCTGGCCACGAGCCGCCTCCACATTGCCAGGCAGTGGTGTTTGCGCAAGCTCCTTATTACGTAAATAAAAATTCTGTTAGGAACTGTATGGAAGCTAACCTTTAATGCAATCAGTTTTTGGTAATTTCCTCAAGTTTATATTTTTATTATCACACAAAGATCCCTTTCCTTGTGGGGAGCTGGGACACGTACCTAGTTCAGCTCAGTTCTTTTTAGGACCCCTTCTCCTTTCCACCCCTCGGTCCTCTTCCTCCAGGGCTGGCTTGGAGGAAGTCTGTTCCTACTGTTTGCATTCTGGCCCACACTAGCTGCTCCTGCGCCGTGTGCCCGGCAGGGGGCGCCGCGCGCACACGCTGCCCCGCGTCCCTAGCGGCCGGCCGGGAATAGTGACACACTGGCCTTTGTCGGAAGCCCTGGGGTCTGGCGTCAGTGCCCATGGAAAACAAAGTGCTTCTGCCTGGCTGACCGCGGGTTCGCGTTTGCTCACCAGTGATGCCGGCATTTCCAGGCAGAATGAGTTCATGCGGAATCGCAAGACCTTGCCGTGACTCAGAGCCTGGCTCTGTAAACTGGAGTCCGATTGCACTTCCGCTCACTTTGGGCTCAGATGTGAACTTTGAGGTCATCAGCTGTTTCCATGCTGGCTGAGGAGTTCTGAGTATTTCGTAAGCTTGGGTGGGGATGGGAGGGCACTCTCTAGGGACAGACGCGTGTAGGGATGCATGCAGGCCTTATCATGGGCTGTTGCTGTATCTCTGGCAGAGCACGAATTTGTGTTTATTCGTAGGGTTTTTTTTTTTTTTTTTTTTTTTTTTTTTTTTTTTTTTTTTTTTTTTTTTTTTTGGCGGGGTCTTGCTATATAGTTCAGGCTGGCCTTGAACTCACCATGTAGCCCAGGCTGGCCTTAACAGGTGGCCATCCTCCTGCCTCAGCCTCCTGAGTGCTGGGATTACAGACAGGTGCCACCACCCTAGGCTAGAGAGATTTATTCTTAAAGTAGATCTTAGCAACTTTAACATAGGGATTCTTTTCTCTTTCCATATTAAGTAGAGAACTTTCAGCTTTTTCACTTTAAAGAAGCACCCGTCACTTTTGTTTGGTAGATCTCAGTTGGTGGCACCATTACTCTTGTGCTTTGGGGTTGTTATTAAATAGAATAAGGGTTAATGATGGCCATTCTAGTGAGCATAGCAGCTACTCAACCATGACTGGGCCAGTGGCATATACATTGTTGATACTTTGGACAAAGGGATGGTGCCTGTCACTGGCCACACAGTGGGGACAGGGTGAGGTTTTTGTCCTATGATTGGTGTGCATTTTAAAACTTGGGGACTGCCTACTATTTCTGGAATTTTCCATTTAATATTTGGGAATATTGTCGACCATGAGGCTAACTAAAGCCACAGAAGTCAAAACTGTAGGGGTCAACTCCTGTATACTGTTTATATGTTCAAAAGAATTCTGTGTACAAACCTAAGAGACGTGTGCCAAACATTTTTTTCTCTAGCAGGAAGCTCTGGAGGGGATTTTTCATGGGGACAGGAATGGCTGGACCAGGCATAGGAGCAGGAATGCAGGTGACTCCTGAGGAGCGAGATGCAGCTAAGAGCAGCTCCTCCTCCTCTCACTTCTCCTCCTCCTTCCCTGTCCCCTTCTTCTTTTCTTCCTTTTTCTCATCCCTTTTCTCCTCGCCTTCTGCTCTTCTTCCTCCTCTCCCTCCTCTTCCCTTTTCTCCTTCTACTTTGAAAAATATGGAGCCAGGTGTGGTGGCACACACCTGTAATCCCAGCACTCAGGAGGCTGAGGCAGGAGAATTTTTGTGAGTTTGAGAGAGCTCACAAAGTGGGCTGAAGGTCAGCCTGCATAGCAAAACCCTGTCTCCAACAACAACAACAACAACAAGAAAAAAAAAATCATGGAATTGATCAATGACAGCAGTTGGCTTGTTGTGAAGATTTTGGTCAAATTTATCCTATGGGTGAAGGAGCCAGGAGGTGGCTAGAACTGGAGAAATCCAACAGAGCTAGAAGGGTTGGAAATGGTTGGAACAAGTGAGCTGGAGGAGCTTGGGGCATAACACCCAGGGTTCACCCCAGAAGACCAATGGAGAGAAATATCCCAGGACTGGGAGGGGAAAACGGCATCTTCAGGCGGGGGGCGGGGCGGCAGTGAGCTCCCCTGGGCTTGGAAGGGGACTATGCCACTCGGGGCCCCCAGCAAGCTGCTCCTGACACACCTCCATCACTATTTAAGGGAATGAGCCCTCTGGAGTCCCCCGCACCCCTTTCTAGTTCAGACTCACTGGGCCCCTGGAATTTTTTCTGTTGATTTAATCCCTTTTCTCAGCTGTGAAATCCCAAGTGTCCGTCTCTCAAAAGTTTTCCAATAGAAATCTCTGTGCCAGGGTGTTCTTTTGTGCCTCTTGATTTGGGTACTTTTTTTTGACCTTTAAGGTTTTTGCTGAGGGAAAAACATCTTGGTGACAGGAGAGCCCGGCCGGCTTCTTGCCAGGGGCCTCTCCTGTGCCGGTGCTCCCGCCCTCGCCTCTCCGGCGGGGCCTTTTGCTTATCCTGCCCAGCTCTGGCCTTAGTGGAAGGGGACGAGGGCA